GGAGCACCGAAGGCACCGGACATCGTCCGGTGTCACGGACCGGGTAGCCCGAGGTGACGTTCGCCAACAAGATCTCAAATGATAATTTAGACATTCGGTCAAGAATTCCCATAATTTAGATATGATTAGAGTGCATCATGGTATCCGTTTCCTGTCGTTGGTGGCCATGGTCATTCGGGGAATACAACATCAAACAACGGCACAGGGCATACATGCTCTTGCTTAAACATGATTTGGATCGGTTTGGATACAGTTTTTGGCTGTGGGTCAATACCGGGGGGACCCTGGTTAACCACCAAAAATTAACATACCAGACTACAGACTACTAGACATGGTCAACCTACTAGGGTCAACCAGGCTCCGGGTTGAACGACCCACCGCCACTTCTCAGCTGCACCTGCTCACACTCATCGTAGCGTCCCGAGCTGGCCAAAAATTGCGGCGACTCGTCCAGGAATCTGCACGCCTCGTCCCGAGCATGCCGCAACTCGCGACTTGTAAGCCGGCTCAATGTCAAGCGTCACCACTTGGGCGCTGGCAAGGATGAGGAAGAAAAAGGCAGGAATTGCCTCGCTAGCTTTGCAAGTGGTAGTGCCACGGCTAGCATATCAAAGCCCAAGCCTCCTTTTTTCAGCATCAAACCCCTCGTTCGCCCTACATCCCCAAGTCCGCGGCGCTCATCTCGCACAAGGTCCTCCATGCACAGATTTCTGGCCTGGAACATGAAGCAGTTGAAGCTCCGGCATGTTCAATTGTGACGTGACGCAGGGTCATCGTGGAAACAGCAGCCATGTCATGCCATGCTTAGACGGTGGTCCCATAGGTTGTGAGGCATCCTCTGCACATGAGCCACCTTTCTGAGTGAGTCGGGAATCCAAACTCTGATTTGGTTGTCGCCTCAGAACTCTAAACATACCAAACATCTTCTGAACATGCACCTTCTTAGCATCCCAACATCTCGCCAGCTGATCATCCCATCCCAACACCGGAAGCTTAGCTGGGTGGACTCTTGAAGCGCCATGGACGGATAGTAGGAACTGCTGCAGCCTCGGTTCGGTCCCGGAGGTGCCCCCGGACCGACGGGACCAGAGGGAACAATGCCAGACACCATAGATTGATATACTATATTATATACATTTATACTTATACACTTATTATACTAAGGTATACTATTATACCTTTTCTATATATGCATTGTATGATTGTTCACTGGGGGAGTGGTTTTCCCCTCAAAAAAGATCCACCTAACTTTGCTAAAAGGGAATACAAAGGATCTCTACTGAGGCCCTCCCCACATCTCCCCACCGCCCCGGCTGGGGCGCCGGCCACGGGCGGAATTGTCCAGCTCCGGATCCACGAAGAGGACCTGGATAGGGACGGCATCTGGGGCATTGAGGGAAATGATGCCTAGAGAAGCAGAAGAATCCCACTAGTGAAGTCCTTGACATCTAGCGCAATGTGCATTTTGCTGCCATATTTGTATATGTTTATATTGCATGTGAATGTGTGTGTGTATGTTCTTCCATGAAAGCCCTTCATGGAAGGGATCCTGCACCTCCCTAAAAGCCAGGAAGCCTTGGCTTCAAGGCTGGAATCTCCAGTGATGCCTTGTGAATGTCGCTTGTGACGTCGTCATCTGCTGAGGCCTATGCCACTAAAGCACCAATCAGCTCACCCAGTGGCATGAAACCGATCATCAAGGTGCTTAAGCTGCTTCTCCAGTGGGAAGGGGCCACCTGCATCGCCCAGCCACGGTCTAGTCCAAGTCTCCCCATCCTAACATATCCTATTGAACCAAGAAGGACTAAGTGGAACATGGAGTCTACCAGGACGAGCTACCACAATCTAGCTTCGATATCATGTGGGCTGCTGTTCCATTTGGACGCCGAACTCGTATTCTTCTCTTGATCCAGGGCACGGGCATAAATACATGGATGCGCAAAAAAGAATCAGTTCGACCATCAGTTCGACCTGGGAGGTCCTTTATTAAATCCTATAGTAAATGAGACGTCCACATCAACGAACTCCGCCGGTTGCGCCTCTCCAGCTGCGATTCCACCCTTCGACCCCAACCTCCCGCAACGCCTCGGGCATGAGTGAGTAGGCCGCGGGAAAGCCAATCCCACAACCTCAGGGGCCACGCGGAGGTCCCTCGCACGAGTCTGCCGGAGTCGCACTGCGCCTGCGCCCACGAAGAACCGGAGGCAAAGCATCAAAGCCGGCCTGCGTGGCCTGGTCGGCCGCCCCGGTCAGCCCATAGAATAAGCCGCACACACCATCTGGCTTGGTCCGTGCTACACACGATCCATGGCTACATATATCCCATGAAATGATCCATGGAATATCCCAGCTACACACCATCTGGCTCACAAGTGACAGATCACCGGACCCTCCGGAACAGGCAGTCGCAAAGCCAAAGAACGCGATCATGAAATACCTGACGATGCAGGAAGCCATGGGAAGCCGGGAATGCCTGAAGTTTCCAGGCTAGCACACTCCACAGTACAGGGGTAAGCTTCATTCATCCACTCATGCTTGTGTCTACACTTCTCGCGTGGCATATTCCTTACAAACCTCGGGCTGAGCCAGTGGCGAAAGCAGAATGGAAGCACGACGTCCAAATCGATCCCCGATCTGCCCTGACACAAAGTTTCCAGCCTCACATCGCAGGCTCCGTTTGCGCACGAGTTCCTCATGCTAACACCATCGTGCTAACACCACTCGTGCTACTAACTCGTTCACGTCTGCCACTCACAAGCAACCATCCAAAAGCAGCTTTGATGTAAGCACGCAAGGTTGCCGGGAGTGCAACCAAGTGGCAGAAAAGCCAATGAAAACCTCAGCCATCGACTCCAGTTGATGCGAAGAAAAAATGAGAGTGATTTACTCGCCTTCGGCGCTGTACTGCTCTGCTGTGATTCTTGTGAAGATGAGGCCTCCATAACTTCAACCACCTTCTTTGTTGGAATCTTTAAATATAGTAAGAGGATGTATAAAAGGTTGGGTATAAACGGTATATCTCAGTCGGTGGATGATGATGGTTTGTAAAGGCTTTTCTCAAACATAGGGATTAAATGCGACTAACTTGTTGTTGACTGTCACTGCCAAATAGGACATGCCAAAAACGGGATATCTGCAATGAGGCGCCAGGACCACCCCCTCACTCATCTTCTTCTCCGAGAGGCAATGGACACCATGCCACCGCGGACCACCGGGTCGAGCCCCCAATGCCGATGGAGCAATGATGTGATGGAACCTGTCGAAGCAGGGGAGAGTGGTGAGAGTGGGAGAGTGCCTTCCTTTTCGACGAGCCTCGCCCACGCTTGAGAGGTGATACAAACAATTGTACCAACTCACTTTTGGATACTGCTACCTGATGCTACTTGTATCTGTAAACAAATCGATGCGGCTCCAAAAACGCACACAAGCAAAAAGTAAAACAAATGAAACAAGACAGTACTGTTTAAAAAGCAGGTGCGAGTCATGTTGCCCATTGTTGCCCATTGACTGGCTTCTGTTGCATGCCAACAACAATTACTTTTGAACTCTGATGAGCGTTCAAAGGGTGCAAGCTGGTCATGAATGAGCCTGGCATATCTATATATATATATATGGGTGTGTAGTAGAATAGGGAGTCCCCCCTTGTTCTTCTTCCCTGTAAAAAACAATGCCAATAAAAACCTATACAGCAATAATATATAATTACCCAAACACTCCATGTATGGTATATTTACCTACATTGGGGTGGTTTGGGTCATTATATGCAACATATGGAGAAAAAAAACAAAAACCCTCATCTGGGCATCCCACCCATGATCAGCATCTCCGCACCCTCGGCCAAGAAGATGCCACCCGTCAGGAACAAGGGCTCGGCGGCGACCGACGAGTTTGCCGTTTGGCGCCCGGGTGCTGTGGGTGTTCCGTCTGAACGGGATGGATTATGAATTCCCCCAACAAATGTGGTCAAAGAGGACATGAATGTACATGGATATATAATGATATAATATGATATATATGTTGTATATGAGATCTTGCCGTGGTGTTAGATGGATATAAATGGACGATGCTCAACAGTCGGCACATGGAGATCTTTATCTCTTTAGGTCCATACGTCATTGCCATATTGTCAAATGAAACACAAGAAGTTTTGCCCAATGAAACATAAGAACTCTGGCCAAAAGGGTTCATTCCAAACAAATCTTCACTTAAAGCGAACCATCGCATCTTTTCGCGCATGGGTCGCCCTTGAGGTCCACGCCAAAAGCCTCGGCAGGAAGCGTTGGAATCACGACCGCGGCCATGGATTCGTTTAACCTACAGCATTAAACTCTTCCGAATCTTCGGGGGCTCTCCCCCTTGTCACACACATCCCGCCCATCAGTTCATCTCAGACACTGATACAGGCCAAAGCCCAATTCCTCCACCGCATGTGCCACCGCCTCGATGAAAAGACAGTGGAAACCCAGCTGTTTTGCGCAGGTGTGGCAGGTTTCGTCCGCACATGTCTGCATGGCGGGCCTTTGTTGCGGGAGTCTTTGGTATCTCAAGTGCATCTGCACCCATCGCCACCTGAGCCGGGTGCCCGGGCTGAGATCCACACCAAACACCCTGAACGATCTGAAAGAGACAGGACAAAAGAAAGGATGAATTGCCCCCAAACGCGTCATACAAAGCACACTGCTCAGTCGAAGACCTGGACTTGCTAGGCCCAGCTTCATTGAAACGGCTCCATTGAACGAGGGCCCTGGAGCAAGGCTGGCCCTCCTTCCTAAACGTAGGCCGAAACGTCATGCGGTCGACGTGGATAAGAATCATGTCTCAAGCAGCGGATTGTGCATGGCTGTCCGCCTGACGAGGAAATCATGCAAATCAAAATTCAACTCTTACAGTAACATCGTTTAGCTCTGTGTTTGATTGTGTTCGTGGCTCCCGCTGCTTTTCCACACTTCTGGGAATCAGCGTGGCGCAGCCGAAAGAAGCCATGAAGTCTCATCTCCTTCCTAGCTTCCCAACGCCGGCCTTGGCAAATACAGGTCAAGTGAACCTTTCGATATGTCATCATCTCATTCTATGACTTTGCTCGGGTCTTGACTTGGCAATTCCACTTTTCTCTTTCCTTCCAGCACCATTCTTGTAGTCCTGTCCGCCCACACACACCACAGACTCTCCCACTGAATTCCCACACTGCCTGCACTGCAGCTTCCAGCCGTTCGAGGAAGGCATCCATCCTGGCCGTGGCCGGAAGTCAACCCACATGCTGTCGAGATGGGCGATGGGCGACTTGGCAACACCATGCAACACCCAAGCCAGGCTCGCTCTTTGCGACTGGCACCTGCGAAGCAAGTCGGGCCGATGGTGCAAGATGGAAGACGGAAGACACTTGAAAATGGATGGCAAACTCGGCACCTATGGCACAGGCAGCTGTCAGGTAGCAGCATGGGTAGAACTGGCCAAACGTTTCAAACGTATCATGAAAATGCCCCTGGAGTTCATTGAGAACGTGCCAAGGTGGCATTGGTGTGAGCGCCATAGCACTCGAAAGGAGTGCCATCTATGACCTGTCCACGACCCAAACAATGACCCTCATGGCTGTCTGACATCTACAAGAAGGCATTGAGTACATCAGGAGCCTTAAAAAACAGATTGAAGAAAACACACACACACACACACGAGTCTCAGGCCTTCTGGTACTTGCCCTTCACCTGCCAGAAACATGCCTTCTTCATCTTCTTCTAAGGGCATTCATTGAGGGCATTGGAACGAGTTCTGGATCCGTCCATGTTTTGGCATCCGTCGGCCCTGTTGCGGAGCCCGTTTTTGTTGGAAACCACCGTTGGTCGGAGCTTTTTCCCCGTGGAAAGGATGTAAAGGTGCATCTAAAGCTTAAATACCGGCGACTTCGTCATTGCAATGTGGTTGCACCAACTGCGCACCAAAATGGGTGAAAAATCACGGGCCTTAATGGTGTCAGCTGGAGTCTCCACATCGAGAGTTGCTGCACCGGGCCTGGCTGGACGTGGTGATGCCCTAAAGCCAGTCAGACGTTGCACGCGGCGCGGAGTCGAGGCGCCCGGACTTCGGCGTGCACAGCACCACACGAGGCCCAGAGACCTTAAACATCGACCCACATTGTATCGTGCCCAGCATGGGAGATGGAGGACTATGCTGGTATAGTTGGCCTGAAGCCTACACACGCCATCTGGAATCTGGAAAAGAAAGGATGCGTTCGACTTCAAGTAGTTCCATGAAATGATGTATATACAGTAAAATGCACACGTCACAAACCTGGAAGTGGACTACCCATCTGTTGGGTATTCGGACAATGGTCATCCAACAGGCCACGTTCATCCATGTTCATCAACTTTCCACGAATATCTCCCTTGCTACTACCAGTGCAAGTGGAACACTGGTAGTTCTTTCTAGATTGAATATAAGGGTGATATAAAGTAATATATATATATATAGTTGTATAAAGGTGATTGAATATAAGGGTGATATAGATATATGATATATATATATAGAGAAGGGTGATTGAATATAAGGGCGATATTCTGATATTCATTTCATGATCCTGGAATCTTTTCGTTGGCGCTTCGACCAGCAGTCGCCCCTCCTCGCCCCTCAGAGCCCCCCGGCGCGTCGGGTGAAGAGAGCGGAACCTTTGGACCGGTGGGACCGGGGTAGGGTACAGTGGGGACTGGTCAGGTCGGAACTAAACTAGGAATTTCCACTGCCAACTCATGTGGAAAGTCGGAGTACAAACATGTAAAGACGCGTTCCTGTTTTCCTCTTTTCTCGGAAACGGACCGCGAACTAACTTACTTGACGTTGTTTTTTTCAAAAAACATGTGGAACTTCAGCAACATTCAGCAACTCTTGTTGTCATAAGCACTAAGTCATGAGCACTCTATTAATGAAGCAAGATATATGATCTAGAATCTAGATCCATCTTGACCAGTCATGTCTGCATCGAACGGAATCGAACGACTGAAATCATTCTCGAACCCAGGTGTCAGGATGTGTCAGGACTCCCCTACCAAGCCGTACCAGTGCTTGTATCGAGGCCCCCGTGGCATCGCATGGCACTTGTGCTTCCCTCGTGCTTCCAATCTAAGAGCAGTTCCCAGAAAGGTGAGGTGGTCCATATCCTCCGCTCCATCAGTTGACCTGCGGCCGTGGTTCCATCATCTGTTCCATCTACCAGTACCTAATTACTCCGGAGTGGGGCTTTACATTTCCTGTCAGAATCGTTCTACATTCTATATGCGTCTCTTCCACGCAACGAGCCAACACGCCCAGTTCAACACAACTCATGACTTGTCCACTTGTCCGCGAAGGATTCCGTGTCATTCCGAAATCACACGGCTGCGCAGCATGGTCCTTTTAGTCTGGCACACAATGTCTCTGCAACTTCTTTCGTCACCCAACAGGGTGTCCCCTGTAATTGCAAAAGCGCAACATTCCAACAAGCATGTCAGGTAAAAGTCCCTCAAGGAACCTGACAAAAAGGCTTGAATTCACAAAACAAATCTTATACTGCGTACATTATCTGTGCTCCGACAGGGTCTGCTGATCTCCCGTGTCAAACCAACCGAAGGAGGCACAACATTCATTCCGCACGTGCTGCAATTCGCAGAGCTTGCGGATACACTTCCAGGCGCCACCATCACATCACACATCATCTCTTGCAACCCAGCCTTTGGGAATGTTGCTTCAACGGGTTCGATGCAGGCTTAGACATGCTTCGGTAACCTCCTGGATCATGCATATAAATAACACCGCACCACCTCGCCATTCGGCGAAGCTCTTCGTCGCTGCCGACGCGGAGCGTCATGCGTTGCTCATGGCCGTCGGTAAGACCTGGAGCGCCCAGCGAGCGGGCGAACGGAGCGTGTGGGGCGTTTCGGCTGGGGCGCCGTGCCGATCAATTCGAGGGCTTCGGAAATTCAACAAGGTGTCAAGTCCAGGCCTCAAGTGCGTGCCGGACAACCCAAAAGAGCGCGCAAAAAAAAAGTATAACAGTATAACATTAAGGTCTAGTCCGATAGACGGCTCTGCTCCCAAGATCTTGCTTAGGCTTAGATCCACTTGGATTTGATCTTGGAATATCTTGGATCCGCGAGTCATCATCGGCAGGAAGCGGCTCAGACTCCAACATCTTCTTCTGAATCCTCACACGGAGACTGTCGGACATATGAAATTCCCTGCAGTTTAAACCGGATTTGGACTTGTGAGAACCGGGCGAATGTTGCAAAACGAAGCGACCCAACCCCATCACCGATCCTTCCCCCTGCAAAACCACACCCAAATACACCCAGTCAGCCTCCCCTCCCCATCCCCCTGGAAGGGTGACTCTCTCAGCTCTCCGTCCTCGTGGGCTCGGCCTGGAAAATCGTCAGCTCGACGACGACGGATCGTCGAAAGCGACGACGATCGTCGAAAGCGAACACGCGCAAAGGCCTCGGATGGATTCGGTCTCACGCGAACTGGAACCGGTGCCAATAGGAGGATTGGCCTCCCAAACGAAGATGTACGAATGTGGCCGATCTGAACAGCATATGACTTCTGTTTTGCTGAATTGCTGTTAACAAAAGCTGATGCACCGCACTCTCCTTTCAATGGCCTGCCAAAAGTCAGAGCATCAGCCTCTGATTTGTCAGACAGGCCGATGTCTTTTCGGGCAGTCGTTCTCTTTGCCTGTTCCCAGGAGTCTGCAGAAGATGCACGAGTGGCTGGGCTGTGCTCGGCCTACCAGCAATCTCATCCCGGGAACTGTGGCGCCTCTCTGGCGATCCGAGCGTCAACTCTATCTCTACCCCGGCCACTTGGTGGAGGCTAGAGCCTCGGGCTCATGTACGAGCCTCTAGGGACCTTAAAACACGGAACTAATTCAGGTGAAACACACACATGTCATGCAGTCACGGCTTTACGTTCTACCCTTGAAATTCCTCAAGAGTTGCAAAGTTGCGATTGATGCCAGTACCTTTAAAGCTCGCAGTGAAGGTCTGTAGTCCAGAAGGGAGCTGTTCTCGCAAGAATCCGACACCGGCTGCGGTGAGCAATGGACATCCAGCAAAGTGGAGCTCAAGATCTTCCAAGGCGGGGGGCAGACCCCCTGCAATAGCATAGAGGCCAGTATCCGTCAGCTTCGAACAGCCAATAAAATCCAGGTAGAGCCGCTTGAGCCCCAGGCAAAACCTGGACCTGGGGCCGGAAACCAACTGAGCAGGAGGAACCATGACACAACTCGAAAGGCTCTTTTTCAGCCGAGGCACCCTAATGCCGACAAGCTTTGATCTGTAATCCGATTGCAGCCTTCAAAGCTAAGGCGCAAGTCTTGTAAATTGGGAGGCAAGCCAGCAGCCAAAATCTTCACGCTGGAATCCACACAGGTCTCCTGTAGAAGTTGAACACTGGCATCCAGCCACGGTCAAGGAAAATACGCCCAAAAATGGATGCCCAACCCTACATGTGGCAGTCTGGAAGAAATCCTGGAAATAACATCTCAGCTGATCAAACTCCGCCCTCGACTCGACGCAAAAATGATCTTCGGAGACCGACGTCCTTCGAGCTTTGGGAGACCCGAAGACTCGACCCGTCGTCGGCTATAGCAGTCCAGTCGGGGAGCCATATCACAGCCAGCCTTCGGGGACCCGGTTTTGATTGAAAGATTGGATGACTGTGAGAAGCCGGTGGCACATGCTTATCAGCTGATCAGCTCCACGTCAGCATAGCGTTCCAGTCGTTCCAACAGTTCTTCTGATGATCATGCCTACCAGTGGAACTCCACTGTTCCACAGTTGGTTCCTAGCTCTTAGGGAAAAAAACTCAAATAGAATGCTCTTGCTGAATCCATCCTCTGGATGTGTTTCAAAAATGGAGGATGCGCTGGCTGCCCTTTCTACCAATGGTCAAGGAAAACAGACTATATAAATCTCTTTGCTTGGGAGACTTGGAGGATCCTCTGCACACAGAAAGTCACTTCATCTTCCACTCCTGAGGTCTACCCATGTCTACCTGCTGAGTCAAGGCAGCTAGTACCAGCTTGTTCATACCGAACTTTGACCCACAACCCATAGGGTCCGTGGCTCATCAGCATCCCTGGGCCCATTGTCTTAGTTGAATGGAAGTCTCAACAAAACGGGTTTGCCAGAACCTTTTCACATGTTTGTTTATATGGCTGTGGGTCAAAACCCGGAGCCGTTGACCCTGGTAGGTAGTAGTCTAGTCTGTTCATTGTCGGTGGTCAACCAGCGTTTTGTCCTGTTTTGTCCCACAGCCATACATGTTTGCATTCTTGGAACCGTCCTCGAAGTGTGCAAGGCTCAGCTCAAGCACTTCACGATCATCATCCATCGCCAAGATCTCGGGCAACTTCACCTTGCACGAGCCGAGAATCCTGGAGAGGGCCCGATCTGTTTCCACCTGGTTTCGTCACCCCTTTCATCCCGCCGATCGGACGACGTCGGGACGTCGGCGCTGGACCTTTCCCACGACCTGGGTCGGAACAGCGAAGAAGGAGGCAGGTGAATTTTAGATCATTTATTATTTAGTGCTGAAAGAAACATCCCCGTCCCCAAAAAGAAGCTCATTAAAGGTCATCCACTCACTGGGTATATGACGAGCGGCTCTCACAACCGATGGCATCTGCTGCAAACCCATCCCGAAACATGGACAGGACAGGGAAGTCATGGGAAGTCTATAATTAGAGTCGCTTATGGTGGATTGTGGGAGAAATGTTTTGGGGGCGAGAAGAAACCGCATTGGACAAAGGGCCTTCCATGTCCAGCTTGATGATATGACTATTAGTTCGAGAACATATGCAAGAACATTATAGCTATGTTTTCACTAGCCGCTAGCCTCACTGCACTGGGTTTGGAAGCGGGCCTTCAACAGGCAAAACAATAGAACATAAACCAACACCCCACAAATTCGATCTGATACCATACTTGCAGGTCACCTTCTGTCTTGCTTTGGAGCTCAGTTTCTGCTCTTTGTGATTGGCAAAGTCCAGCAAACGCCCATGTTTCATGGCCTGCGGCCAGGCCAGAATTGCGAAGGTGGAGTGGAGCGCATCATTGGCGCGCTTCAAATTTTGCTGCAGGAGCTCTTGGCCGGCTGTGGTGGACAAGTCTGCATGGCTTGCCATCTCAAAAAGGATCCCGTCCTTATCCTTTTGAACCGTGGCCTCGCCATCCTCCAGACATACTTGCAAGCCGTGCAGAAGCAAAGACAAGGGAAAATTCTGCTCTCGCACCGACTTGGCCACGGCCGATTCACCCGGCAGTGGGCTTTTGCTCAGCATCTGAGCTCCTGGGCTTTGCTTCTTGGATTGGACCATGGTCACGATGTCCAACATCTTGTCAGGGTCTGTGATTGAAGAATAGACCTCATAGTCACACCAGATACGACTGAAGGGAGTTGCATCCTGGTCCAGGATCAGCAGCAAGCCTTCGGCCACATGAAGAGCTCGGTAGAAGGAGGATTGGGTGATGTCCTGGCCGATTTCAAGCTCCAGCTCGTGTTGCCGATTGGCATAGCCGCAAACCCAGTAGTTGGCCATCGTGTCATTCAAGCGCCGCAGCACCGCGTGCTTCTGGCAACAGTTCACGAAAGAGACGATGGGCTCCCCCCACCAGTGTGAACCTAGGAGCAATGGAGGGATTCTGTCATCTCTGATAGCTATGACAAATCAAAAGTCTGAAGAAAGGGGCCCAAGACTAAGGACGCGACAGTACCAGGTTGGTTTGCAGGGGGTCAAAGACAAATATTCCTTGTAGCTGAAGGAATTCAAACACTCCATGGATTGCAGTTTTCCCAAGGGAGCATCTCCAAGCATGATGTTTCCGTCCTCCGCGTGAGTGGTAAAGCGGCCTTGGCTCAAAGCCACGCAAACGGTGAGCACATCACCATCCATGCCTGCTCGCAAAATGGTCGCAGAAGCACTGGGCAAAGTCATTTTGTCAGATTGTTGGAAAATCTGCTGCCCACACAAGGCTCTCCAATGAAGAAGCTGACTCTTCAAGGGCTCCATCCTTAGAAGCAATCCAGTTTTGGGCGCAGTCTTGGGCAGGATGTGATAGTAGCTGAAGTGGTAGAGGTTCAAGGTATTGCTTTCAATTCTTCGACCGGTCCGTGGATCGTCCCACCCATGTCGACTGGCCAGC